GTGGGAGGCGGGGCGCGCGGTGTTTGGCGAGAGCGGCGCGCCTCGCGCCGACGTGCTGCGCGCGCGACCTAACCGCGCGCTGCTGCGTGTGCCCGCAGCGCAGCACCGCCGCCTGCGCGCCGCGCTCGCCCTCGCCGCCCGCCCCCTGCGCGTCCGCAAAGAGGCGCCTTCGCTGCAGGCGCTCATTTGACTCCACAAGGATAGGTCTTGTCCGTTTATTTGTAACCATTTCTTGAAGATCACTTAAAAGGCTAATTTTATTTGAAGGTCATACAGCAAAAACATATGTTCCTTCTGCACTCATCTCATGTTTTTTTTTTTGTAAAAGGTAACATTAAAAAGGTGTGAAAACCACTCTAGTTGATTGTGATAACATTATTGAAACTGATGTGTTGTAGGTCGAGGCGTCACATTTGAGTATTTTAGCGCAGAGTAGAAGGACAGGAGAGAGATGTCACTGCGGGCGGAGGCGCTGCGCTCGGCGACCGCCACTGGGCCGGGCGGCAAGGACCTGGTGGTGGTGGCGGCGCGCGAGACGCTGGCGGCGCCCACGCGGCTGTCGCTGCCGGAGCCCGAGCCCGCTCCCGGCCTCATCCTCGCCGACGGCACCATCAACTGGGGCTGCCCCTGCCTCGGCGGCATGGCCACCGGCCCCTGCGGACCGCAGTTCCGAGACGCGTTCTCGTGCTTCCACTACAGGTACGTCCCGACGACCAATGAAACGCTCTCTTTCATAATCATATAATTGACGCGGTACAAACCTCCGTTCGCAGCGATGCAGAACCCAAAGGCAGCGACTGCTACGAGAAGTTCAGCGTGATGCAGGAGTGCATGTCGCAGTTCCCCGAACTGTACGGCAAGGACGAGGACGACGACGACGACCAGGAGGCGGCCGCCGCACTCGCCGCGCCGCCCCCCGCCGCCGCGACCGACGCGCCCCGCGCCCCCCACGAGCCCCACGCGCCCCACGCGCCCCACGAGCCCCACGCGCCCCACGCCCGCGCCGGCGACTAGTATCACGACTCTGCGTCTCACAGCGCCATATTTAATAAAATTGTTGTAGTGCTTCCGTGTTTCATTTTATATGAACCTAAACACCCTTTGAGATAAGCGCGGAAAAAAAAATGTTCCAGACTATGGTCTACAGCAGTCATGACAAAGATATCTTATCAACAAGGCCCGCGATCGCAATGAGTCACAGAAAGAATTAATTTTTTTTTTTTCCCCCAGTAAATTCAATCTATCACCTACGAATTCACAATTTATTATATGGCCCTCTGCAAAATTGAGTGACACCTCTGGTTAATAGGTCACTAAATGGAGCTTGGTCAAACGACGTGAAAAAGCATTGAACTTTATTTCAATTTGCGCACTGGAGTATTGACTCCCTGACCACTAGATGGGGTTAATGAGACGTACTTACGTAGTATATTTCCAAGTCCACAATTTTTTTTTTTTATAGCATATTGTCCTTACTCACTAAACTAAATTATGGTCCAGTAAGTATTTCTTAGCGATTCGATACTATTGTCTGACTGCTGCCTGGGCACAGTGCTCCTAATAACTAACTTAATAGTATACCTAAATTTGTGCATACATATATTCTATACAACATAATTAACATAAGTTGGAGTTTATCAAATTAACTGTAATCTAAATGACATAAGTTAAGACAAAGTGACGTTGTGTTAAATTAAATTGTTTTAAAAAATGCATTTTAAGATTGATGTAACAGACATCTAACGCCATCTGTCTTCTGAGTTGCGGTGCATTCGCGCGATTTGCTAACTTTACTGATTGAGATAAAACTATATTAAATGTTATTGAACGTATTTCTTTTTTATTGACAAAAAAAAAGTTTTTTTTTTAACAGCTGAATATATTTCGACTGTACCACAAAAATTTGCGAGAGCATTCTCTCATTCGTTATAACAAATTGAATTCAACGTGACCACTCACAGAACCATCTGTCGGAGAGAGACGTCATTGTTAACACTCTTGGACAGATTGACATATAATGTTCTTTCCAAATGAAGTGTTTTTTTTTTTTTAAATATTTACATTTAAATATTTTTTTTTTTCCACACCTCATTCCTACATAGTCAGGAGAATTGCAGGAACAGATTTTCGATGTAGGTGACTTGAGTTCGAATCCCGAAAACTGGAATTTTGTCTTGTGTTGAAAAAATATTAAATAAACTTCAATTTATATTCAATTGTTGATTTTTTTTTTTTTTTTAACATGTCCTAAATCGCTACGTCAATTACAATTTGTTCGATGGTCCAGGCAGCAGTCTTGGCTCTACTGACTACTCTACTTGGCTGACTGCTGCCTGGGCACAGTGCTCCTAATATCTAACTTAATGCTATACCTAATTCTGTGCATACATATATCTTATACTTACTAAAAAATAAAAATAAATAATAATAATAATATAATTTGGAGTTTAACTATATTCTAAACAACATTAGTGAAGTAGAAGGTGTAATAAGATTAAAGTATAAGCAAAGATTAAAAAAAAAAATTATACATAACGAAGGTCCATAACATCGTATATATATCATAACATCTAACGCCATCTGTCTTCTGGGTTGCAGAGCATTCGCGCGATTTACTAACTTTACTAAATGGGATGAAACGATATCAAATGATGTTAAACTTGTTAATTATCTATATGGATGAAAGCAATAGATATTATAAAACAATTGTAGCAAGTTTCAACTATACCGAAAAACTGTGCAAGAAAATATTCGTTGACATGTTGACTCAGCGTGGCCGCTCACAGAACCATCTGCCGAAGAGTAGCGTCAGCGGTGACATTTTAAGGGCAGAGGTGTTTTTTTTTTTTTTTTTTTTTTT